GGGGGGCTCCCCTTTGGGGAAGGAAGGAGGGGGGGGGGGGTGCTCTTCTAAACTTCAGCACACACAAGTTACATTACGATTGCACAATCCCCTTTAGATCTAGCAACAGCTATGTAGTGCAAGGACCCGCCTGATTGGATACAGATTGATTGAATAGACTAGGTAGGCCCTCATATTACATAGTTTTGCTAAATCTAAAGCTGATTATGTGTTCAGATTGTAATGCGTATAGGGTGACCCTTCAGTTTGACTCATTTAGTTAAAGGTTAACATCAGATATGAATATATTATTTCATATTTACCTTTCTAAAATCAAATTGAAAAATACTCATATGCATATTTTATAATGTTCTGAATGTTGTTCAGATTCAATAAACCTCATTTTTAAAGAAACATTTAATTTTTTTATCTCTGGAATATAATTCATAAAGAAAATCTATGGAAATTCAGTTCTTTATAACATCTCTGCCAAGTACCCTTTGTATCTAAACATGACACAATAACTTTAAAAAAAAGAACTAAAACCCTTTCTAAGAAAGAAACTTAGTTATAGTGTCCTTATATCTATTACTTTTACTATACACTGAGTGGCCAGATTATTATGACCAACCCATCAGTACTTCGTTGGGCCTCAAAATGACTCCACGAGATGACTTTGTTGGGCCGCCTCGTGACTCCACGAGATGTTGAAAGGTGATGCAAGGAATCTGACACTGCACTGTTGACCTTCTGTTGTCTTGTACCAGTCTTGCCACTCTCTGTTCTGCCCTAACATTGACTAGTCGCTGACGGCCACAATTCGCATGTTCAGACCCAGATTTTCGGCTGACAGTCCGGTCTTTAAACACTTTAACAACAGCCCCTCTTGAACATTTAACAAATTCTGCTATTTTGCTGATACTCGCTCCATGGCTCCGAGCGCCAACAATCATCCCACGTTCAAAGGCTGTTAAATCGCGTTGTTTCCCCGTATCTTCAGAAAAAAATCACTTCTACTGCCGTGGTAAACAACCTGCTTCCCTATTTATAATAGTCTGGCCCTCTAGCAACTTCAGCGCGAAATTATAGCTAATTACAGCTAATTTGCCTACAAACGTCAGGTGGTCATAATAATCTGGCCACTCAGTGTATACTAGATATAAGGAGAATGCCAGACTGATTTTTTTTACTTCTCTCATTCAGTACAAAATCAACGCATTTCATACATATACAGGCACTCTCATCAGGGCTAGAAAGCAAATTGTTAGTGTGTTGGATGCCCGCATGCTCCACTGCTTGCTATGGTTACACCTACCGTCAGCTATATCACTAATGTGTCCTGTAATAAAGTGTAAAGTGTATTCAACACTCCCAGAAGTATGCCAGATACTAAAGATTCTTTGGCAGTCCGCTGCTGAGGTTGTCGGAGCCCTCATTACCAATTACAGCATATACATGCATGAGTGTGGATTGTACTAACATTGTAACATTAAAACATGTCTTTATGTCTTCAAGTTCAGAGCTAGTGCTGGGCTTGCTAAGTAGACAGCCCAGCATGCATATCAATTTAACGTGAACTGACTTTTTTAAAGAAAAGGCATTAAATCAACTTTAAATAAACCGATACTTAGCAAAACTGAAAACAAATTGCTATGTGGGCACAGCTTTGGGTTCAAGTCGACAACACGCTGCCAGGGGGAGAACTGACACCACTCTGAGAGTTAATAAAGACTTACAAGTGTAACATGTTGCCGAACATTATATCTGATGCCAGGAACACTTTAACTCTGTGTACCTTTAAGAGTGCATACCCCTAAAATGTAGCGCAGCACGGAGATGTAAAGCACAGAACAAGTCGGCAATAATTGCCACAGTGCGATGATTTACTGTTGCCTGCTGCAGAATTTTAACTCGGCTGCCAGGAGCTCCTGGAGAATCCGGTCAATAGACTTAAGCAAGTTGATTGATTCCTGCTGGATGGACATTTATGGCGCCTGTAAATATCCCCGGACAAGACAGGTTTCTGAAGACAAAGCCCTTATCTCGGCTGGAGAAGAAATTC